GCCAGTATTTCAAGTCCCATCAGCCCAAATAAAACCACCAGGTCCGTCCACCCACACATTTTCACCAAAACTTTTATTTATGGAGAAATAGGCACAGAAAATCCTGAAGGATGGCTATGCACCAGAATGCTGAAAGAAGTTATTGTAGGATTATGATACTGTAATTCCTTTCTGTATTCTGTTACAAGGAACATGTATTGCTTGTATAATAAAGTTTGCAATGCCTACTGAATTAACAAACTCAAAGGTTACAAGTCTAATGCACTGGGCAGAATGACAATATTCCAATATTATATGGAATATTATTTTGAAAAAGAGATCACATACACACTTCAGTACTTCAGCAGTATCAAAGTGATCCGATGTGTCTGCACCCGAGTACAGGAAAGATGTCCTCCCTGCTCCTGATGGAACGCAGTACTGAAGGACACACACATGCTAAAACATTCAAACGTCCCACGAGTGACCCCCAAAGGCATGTAAGCAGGGGGTGCTTCAACCAAGTTTTGAGAAAAGGCCCAGTCACTTGTGAGCTGGAATGAGGAGGAAGAGCCCATGGGGAAGGTGGACTTGAGCAGGACCCTTGCAGGATTCAGATGACAACTTGAAAGAGCAACTCAGAGGGTTGAGTGGACTTCACAGGGCAGTCGTCAAGTGAGCCAACAGCCAGGCTGTCTGTTACAGAACCCGGCCGTCTGGGGAACGTTAACAGCTGGGATGTGTGGGGAGGAAGAGGCAGACAAAGGAGAGCCTCAGCACTAAAAGGAATGGGGGGGGCGGGGGGGGGAACTAGGCTAAGCCAAGTTGCGAGGGTTTCTTTATGGCCAGCCTTCCCCCAGCTCTTAGTAGGTGAACATCCATGGAGTCCTGAGAGGGGAAGAGGGGATCTAGTCTTAATAGCATCTCTCTTTCACTGAAAAGTATCAACACACAGAAGACACCTTAGGAAACAGAGATAATGAAGACAGAACTATGGAGGGCTTGAATGCCAAGGCCAAACGGAGTGGCCTGGCCTCAGTCCTCACTAACTGTGCCTGCGGTGGCCCCAGAGGAAAGGATGTGCGAACAGCCCTTCAAGCTTTTACACAGAACCAGATATTGCTGCCACCAGAATGTTGCCACGTCATCCAGTCATCAGAATTGTCACCGAAGGAAAGCCCGAGCCCGATGCTTCTGAGAATAGCGGTGAGTTAGCAGACCCCTCCCGGGGATCTGAGAGCTTTGGAGGAAGTGTACCTTGTGAAGCTCTGGAGGGCGGCTGTGAACAGTGAAACACTAGAGTCCGAGGAAGACGTTCTAACAAGGGGTAGTGTTTAAAAAAAAATAAAGTCTCAAGTGGTACAGAGCAGTGATTTTAAATTAAAAGTGGCGATGAATTTATATAAATTCAGTTCAGGGAGCCTCAACAGGTTATTTTTAAAAAAGAGGATCAGCTGTATCACACGTAGGAAAGGTGTGGTGCAGTGAGTTACTGGGTATGGTTCTCCCAGCCATGGTCTTTGCCTCCCACCAGATTACCGGGTGGAACGATACAAATATAGTGCTTGCAGCCCACCATGGGGACTAATAGCTTTTTATAATATACTTTAGGTACATGGCACCCTCATGGAAATGGGACCATGTAAATTAGGTGTATGGAACTCTAAACTGGGGATTAGTTTTGTCATTCTGTTAGGCTTAAAATGAGCAGGTAGAAGAGGGGATCTCACTGACATTGAGAGAAGAGCCAGAGGTAGAGCGCAGCGTATCCTTGGACCCGAGATCCCTGTGCTGGACCTCCCTGGCAGAAACCACTGGCAGAGACACTGTGGCAAGACCAAAAGGCACGAGACAGAGCAGCAGGCTTGCTGGCACACAGAGGAAGAAATCCGAGTGACCCTGGGCAGCAGGCTTGCTGGCAGAATGGGGTGCTCCTGGGTGTACCTATTGGCAGAGCTAAAAGAGCTGTTACACTTGCCAGAGCAGGGCAGAGGCCAGGCCAAGAGGCCAGGGCCAGAGAGGTGTGCCCGAGGGCACAGAAGGAGGGAGACTGTCCTGATGGAAGACCTGTATCCTGAGCACATTCCTGAACCTAAACTGTAACCTGTTACTTCCCTAATACACCCCATAATCGTATTGTCTGTGAGTTGTGTGTGGCCACAACGAATTATCAACCCAATAGAGTAGTGAGTGCCAAGGGAAGGACGTCGGTGTCAGAACTGGCAAAAGGCTGGAGGGCGGTAGCATGTCTGACTTCACAGAAATAAGCCTTGGGCTGGTGTTGGTGACTCCGTCCCCTTCTCGTGAAGTTAGAGGCCAGAAGAGGCCACCCTCATGCCCTTTTTGCAAAAGACAAAGTATTATTTTACAAAACTTATGTTTCTCTTCTATATATTGTATTGACCTGTGTCCTTGACTATGGCTCAAAATGTATTTACCAAGGAGAAACAAAACCCTCATCCATTACTGGTGGGAATGTGAAAAGGCACAAGTCACTGTGGAAAACAGTATGGCGGATCCTAAAATACCTGAACACAGAATTATCACAGGGCCCGACAATCCCAGTATCAAGCACAGACCCAGAAGTGATGGCAGGAACACAAGAGACCTGCACACCTATGTTCACTGCAGCACTTTTCACAAGAGCCAAAAAGTGGAAACCACTAAGACGTCCATCAACAGATGATGGGCAAACAATGTGCTCTATACACACAATGCAATGCTTGCAGCCACAAAGAGAAACGAAGCTGATGGCTGCCACAACAGAGATCATGCCAACCAAAATACGTGAGCCACAAAAGAAGGAATACTGTGTGATCTCACTTGTATGAAATACACAAATACATAGAAGCCAAGCTTAATGATTAACACGGCTGGGAGGGAGGAGGAAAGAGGGTTTTCATTGGAAGGGGTCATTGAGTTTATGTTAAAGGTGGTAGAACATTTTGGAAAAGGAAAGTAATAATGGTGATGTTGAAAAAAAAAAAAAAACTCACCCGTCAAGCCGATTACGACTCACAGCAACCCCTCCTTGGGTTTCCAAGGCAATATCTCTATAGAAGTAGATTGCCTAGTCTTCCTTCTGAGGAGTGGCTGGTAGGTTTGAACCGCCAGCCTTCTGGTTAATAGCCAAATGCCTTAGGTACTATGCCCAATAATGGTGATACATGAAAACTGTAATCAATGTATTAAGTTGTGTTGGCAAATGTTTTGGTTTATTTTCACACACCCCCCCCCAAAAAAAAAAAAAAAAAAAACAGTATTTACCATTAGTTACATGCTCCAAGGATGCAGGACTTGGACCAGAACCTGAAGGTGCTGCCCTCAACCCTCAAGCAGAGGTGACCTTCTAAGACTGTGGGATAGCAGGGATGTGAATAATAGATACTCAGAAATAAGAACTCTGGGTAAGGGAGACCAATGAAAATGCCAAGGTAAGTACACCTGGGTAAACTGGAGGCAAGGTGGCTGTCATAAACGGGTAAAGAGTAAAGAGGTGATCAGACAGTACCCAGGAGAGGCAGGGAGCACAGGTTTAGGCTGACACACTGAAATGAACTACATAAAAATGTGCTCTCCTTCACTGTGACCTCAAAATAAACATCTACAACATTGCTTTAATTTGGCCACTTTTTACGATGATTGTATTTTTCTAGTTAGGCAGTGTTTTGAATTGATGCTTTGTCCTCCAACTGTTACAACCATAAAAATAAAAAGCATGAAACCACCCTGAAAACCCACTCTAATCTGCTCTGTAGTACATCTACTCACTTATCGGCCGTCCTGTTATCTGACACCTCGCACTCCTAACAGTAAAATAACCTACTATTGCACCGTTTTGTGTTTTAGCCTGGGTTTCCTCCCCATGTCCAGCCCTCAGTCCACAGAGCCACCACGTCTGTCCAACTTGCAGCTGAAGCAGCCAGCTCTCCAGAAGGCCTCTGGCTGGTCCCATCCCCACCAGAGCCACTGTTGTTGCAACTGGGGTGAAAGACAGACACGACTGCAGATGTTGAGGAAGCACTTCCGAGAAGGTCCCGCGAGTGTGGTCAGAGGGGCCTGGACGGTGGCTGCGGCTACTCCCCCTACTACAGCACCCTGGAGGGACCAAGTCGTACAGGGGGAAAGATACTGGAAGTAACCTAGGGCCTGGCTGAGCGCCTCTTCAGAACAGCTGCTTTAGGCCTCCAGGCTCTGCGCCTCGGGTTCCAAGCTCTCCCAACTAGTTGTTCGCACTTGCTTTCCCAGGGTCCTCCCAGCCTATAGAGCAGGCAGCAGGCAGCTGTGTATACAGAGGGGGTGGGTGCAGGGACAAGGGGCAGGGGCACAAGCAACATTCCCACCAACCCTCTTGATTCCCACCATCACCAGTTGCCCAAGCCCCAGAGACTCAACTGTGCCTTTAGTCCAGGCACCCCCAGGTCCATCTGAGTGCCAGCCCCAACGGCAAGGCCTTAGGGTCCAGAGCAGTGGGGCCAGAGGCACAGCAGTCCCCAGGGGCCGCCTCTAGTCCTCCTCACACAGCACTGGTTCTGCACGATCTGGTCTTTGGAACGTGTTTTGTTGGCGAGGAGTAAGTGCGTTCCATTACTCACCATCCCAAGGGCGTCACTGTGATTTAGCATTCGACAGGTAAGTACAAAATGGTGTCGTCTGGCTACATGTGTGCTGGACCGTGATCTTGTCAGCACAGGAAAGCATGTGCTACCTGCATCATCCTACACTGGCACTACCAGGCAGGTCCTGTGCCAAAGGGCACCCACCAGCTGCCACGCCATCTGTGCCCCTAAGAGTGAAGCTGCACAGCTGGCTCAAGGGCCTTGCTGATCCAGTGGGTGAGGGGCACGAGGGAGACAGCAGGGCTCCAAGAGGCCACCTTCCCCAGACCGATGCCAGCATCCACCAGAGCAGGTGTGACCAGGCACAGCAGGTGGACCTAAAGGTCCATGTCATCCCCAACATGCCCTTGGGGACTTTGCTCGCCAGAAGCCTTTAGGAAATTACATTAATTACCAATGTGAAAGGGTTCTGAATCTCTAGTTTATTAGGATAGCATGGGAGTCACAGGTGGGAGAGACTATGTTCCAGGAAGAGCCCAAGCTGCTCACTAACGGCACTGGGCTGGGGCGGGGGGGTGGGGGGTGGGGGCAAGTCTTCAGGTTACTGCAGGAGAACAGACCCCTGGCCCTCAACAGCGTGAGTGTGGAATGGTATACAAAGACAGAAAGCAGAGAAATCCACAAACTAAGCACCGTGTCCACAATGACTACAACACATCCCTTAGGGGATGATCATGTATTTGTAGGAAGTAAACAAAGCTTTCCATAGAGAAACCACTCTCACGGCAGGATTAGGTAGACCTGCAATGAAGAAAATACATTTCAAAAGACAGGTTCAGGCTGCCGGGAAGTTGTCTGACATACTTAGGAAATAAAAATAAGACACTTCTCTGCATCAACAGAATTTTTTAAAAGTACATCATGGATGAATCAATTTCGTAAGGACCAAGTCCTATTCAGTGACCTGCATTTCCAAACAACAAAGTAAAAAAGAAAATGCCTGACCACAGAAACACGACTTGGAGCCACCTGGACTAGGCCCAGTGAAGTTCGTGTCCTGCTTTAGGGCATTACGCTGAAAGGAATCTCATTCTCCTGTCATTGTTTTCTTTTTAACCTTAATCACCAGCGGCTGGGCAACTGAAATGGACACAAGAACTATATAAATGTCAGAGAAATATGTAAACCTCATTAATGTTTCCAAAAATTCATTTAGAGATAGAAACAGGTCCAAATAGATGCCTGTCTAAATGCACTGCAATTACGTGACAATTATTTTCCCAATACCCAGATCTGCTCTGTCTTTGCTCAGTTCATTACTGACTCAAACAATTTGCCCTTCTGGGATCAATTGTTTGCTAATAAATAATTGTTTACAGTCACAAAATGATGTTAGGAGGTTTTCTTATTAGTTTTCCTGCTGCATCCTAATAAGATTGAAAACTAGCTGATTCCCAAGAGTCTACCCTTAACCTCGCTTTGTTTAACAGCCCAGGAAATGATGAACCATCTGCTTCAGAAAATAATGGACGACCAAGAGGAAATATTGTTTAATTGTAGATTAACCTCCTCATGAGGCAGTCTGAAGCAGCTTCAGAATCAGTAACCAGAACCGCAAAAGAAACAAACGGCTCAAGAGCCCTTGCCTCTCCCATCTGAGGGCGAGAGAACATAAGCTACTTCTATTCCCCAGTGTTTGTGTATTTACAAACATTTATCCCCGCGATGGAAACAAAAATCACCAAGGTCAAACTGGTTCTCAAAAGTGCAGTCTCTGCCCTCCAACAACTGTCTGCCCAAATACCTTTAATGAAGCAAACCATCAAAGCATCTCATGTACTTAAGAAAGTGTGTATTTAAAAAAAAAAAAAAAAAAAATCAATAAAAACCTTTTTTCCATAATTTTCAGGTTCTCATAATAATAAAATTAATATTTTTCCCTGGTTTCTTTGTTAAGAGTAATAAATCCACCATTGGGGAGTACAAATTGTTTTATTATCATCAACATGCCACTTAAGTAAATCAAATCTTGTCAAGTACATGGTGACCTACAAGTTCAAGAGAAAAAAGAACAGCATGAGATCAAAATGGCCGGCTAGGACAAGATATACAAAAGTGACTTGATTAAATGCAAACACAGCCCTTTCAGCCAAGAGGCTTCACACGCTAAGTCTTTTCTAAAGTCCAATCTGTAGAAGGAGCTGATGGGAGTATTTCATACTCTGCCACCTCAGGTGCTCACCCAGTTAGCAAAGGTCCCAAACCACATTTAATTCAGATAAACATGGAATCCTGAAAACATTGAGTTATTCTAGAAATATTTATTGAGGACTTCCCTCAAGGGCCTGTTGACAGAGGGGCAGAGAACAGGATAAAGACATTTGGGATAGTTATTTTATGATTCAACAGATGCCCAAGCATCAGTTTTCCCTTCAGCCTGGTGGAGGCAAGCAAGTAAAAGCACTGCTCTGCAGCTGCCAACAAATGGAAATGGCTTCTCTTAGTTGGCAGTTACAACCAAGAGCCAAAGACAGCTACGAAAATTTCCAAAGTAATATGCTATTCCAGACAAGGCCATGTTACTCTGGGTTTCCAGTGAGACCTGAAGGTCAGTCACATTGTGTAAATATTAGAGAAATAACCTCTGTGGAGAGCAAAGATTTTTGGCAGTTTAAATTCTTAAACATCTTAAATAGAATTTGCTAAAATAAATTATTCTTGAATTCCTCAACTTAATTTTAAAGCAATGCACTAGTAATAACTGCAGAGATTCAAATCATAGTGCCCATTCAAGAAGAACGAGAATTTGACATTCTTCTCTATAAACAACTGGGCACAATTTTACCCATCAGAACGTCTATCAACCTACGGATATTGAAAGCTTGGGTGAACAAGATAAAATCAACTCCAACCCTACAGTCAGCTGTAATATCGAGCAGGCATCAACAATGCTATTCATGAATTTAGAAAAATTAATAAATCCTGGGTGGAATGCAAGAAAAGGCTCAAATGCAGGTGAAGCATACTCACTTGGGTTTTGTTTCTGCATCTGTCACTTGGCGAATAAAGATCCCATCTTCCGGATGCTCTGTGTCATCCATTTCATACATATATGACGATGCTATTGCGAGCGTAGTCCCATCGTTACTGAAGGCAAGGGATGCAATGCTGGTGGGATACCGGTGGAACTGGCATAGTCGCTTCTTGTTAAATGGATCCCAGATATTTACAAATCCATCAGAACCACCTGTAGGTAGTTTCCAAACAGTTTAAATGGTTCTTCAAGCCAGATACAGAGATAATCATGATCTTAAAAAACAATTAATAGCTAAGGTCACAGAAGTTAACATTTTCCCCCAAGAGGTTATACCACATTTATTTCCAAAATACTGTAAAGAGCAAGTATAATTTTTTTTAATTCTGCCTAAGTCCAGATGTTCAGCATTCTACCAACAATAGAATAATGTTATCTTAGTAATTAAATATAGGCTAGCACACCATACTTTACCTGTGGCAAATGTATTGTGAATGTTGTGAAAGGAAATGGCATTGACTGGGTAAATCTGTTCAATATTATTTTCTTTCAGTCGGTGACATTTGAAGGCATACTTCTTCTTCTGTACCTCAGGGCTTGGGTCCAAGTACTCAACGGCCACCCGGCCTTCAATAGAGCTCAATACATAACCCTACCATTAGGGAACCAGAGAAGGACAAAAATGGTGAATCCAGCTTCTAAAAACATGGCACTAATTCCCAAATTCAGCCCATACTAAAGAAAACTGAGAGGAAAATATGGCTCGGTTTTAACCCAGTGTTAAGCTGTATTAACACAGTTAGGACCATTACAAGAGCTGAATACTAATAACATGTTTTAGAAAAACAAACAAGGCTACGGTCACTGGCTTTCTTCACACCAGTGCCTATCATGTTATAATCCATCATTTCTGTATGTTCTGTCAAATGAGACTTTCAAACGGTTGTAGTATCATTTATTTGTTTTCTAGCCTGAAGGGGACTCAACTCTGTTCCATCACTCAGAACGTATTCTTTTTTGGGCTGTGCCTCTTCACCTCTAACAACTGCAGGAACTGTTTCCTTCATCGTGGGCAGCATTAACCTACGTTGAGTTGAAACACCACCCTTCCAACTCATGCATTCTGCCTTTTGCTCCTAATTACACTGAATCAGATTTTCAGGACTCCACAAACGTAGTTACAATTTCAAATCTTTTCTCACTTGTTCTTGAAATAACAAATATACCAAATAAAGTAGGAGGTAAAGATAAACGTGTAATCAATTTTTTATACGTTTTTACTCTTTCAGGGTATGAAAAAAGACATATCCCTGGAACGGTGCTTACGGAACAACAAGAAAAATAAATCAGTAACACCCTTTCTGTTGTTTATTCATTCCAAACTGGAGATAGAGTCCTACAGGAACTTTTAGGCATAAAGACACATAAAAACATTTACAAATGAAGCCCTTCTTAATCATGTATTTAAACCTCAGAAGTCTGCTATAATGCCCTTATCTTAAAGAGAAACTCACAATTTCCTGAAAAAAGAACTGTGATCATTTGAGGTTCTGGCCTTCTGAGACAGAAAGGCCAAGAGAATAACTGGCATAAATCTCTCTAGTCCCCGCCCTGCTTCAAGTCCCACAGCCACTGAACATGGCCACAGGTTCACAAGCTACGTGACATTTGTAGACATCCCTCTTGTGTCATTCCTAATGCAACTGATCACATATGTCACCAACTCCCCTCAGAGCCTGAAGAATTGGGGTGGGGTGGGGTGGGGTGGAGTGTCCCTAATAAACAGGCTGATCCCATATAGCAGTAGTGATGGATGGGGACCCACGCATACATCAAGAGTGTGGCCCTTATAGGAGGCACTGCCTCTCTAACCTCAATGTGTTCTTTAAATCAATCAATCAATCAAAAGTCTGCTGTCAGAGTGGGGAAAAGAGGCCTGTGATTACTAAGACCACAAGGAGGGAAAAAGACAACAGCCAACTCCAGAGGCCCCAATTTCCATATTTAAATTTGCATCCACTGGCTACAAACTGAAGTATGTGCAAAACCCTCTTCAATGACCATACACCTGTCAAGCATCCTGGACAGGGAATCAACAAGGAACTAGCAAGGACAAGGCCTCTCTTCAACCCACTGAGCAAGCCCCGGCAAACTCCTTCCCCAGTCTCAACAGCAGGTCATTTCAACAATGGGGTTCACATACTGCCTGTGAACACAAGGCTGTCAAAAACATCAAATGAGAATTCTCTCAAAGAACTTTGTACATTCAAAGTCACTACTCAAAACAGAGAAACAGGGACCAAGTCGTTACTACCCTCCACCTGCAGAGAAAGGGGGAAGAGAAAGCGGTCAGTACCTGCTTGTTTGGAAAGGCGCGTATGCAGCGGGTCTGGTACTTCAGGCTGGACTCCCGGCGCTGCTGCACGTAGCCCATGTTCCGCAAGTCCCACACCAACACCCTGCGGCCTGCTGTGCCCACAATCAGCCTGTCTCCAGACACCGAGAGGGTATACACCTTTTGAGAGAGCAGAACTTGGTAACAATCACCTGCCTGCCTGAAAATGGCATTGTGCCTCAAAGTAATGGACATCTAGTCACAAAACCATCAAAGTGAGCTGATCAAATTCCGAAACGCAGCTATCAATTTTAAATCCTGCAATTCTCCAACCAAGTAATTCACACCCAACAGCAAGCTCAGGAGGCCCCTAACCCTTCACCAGGAATCACCCACGGGCACTGAACCATCCTATAAACTGCTCCTGCAGACCGCACTGTCTTCATTACCAAAGCCAATGACACCACTCAAGTGGTTTTCCCAGCTTTCTTGTTTTACTCAGAGATGGTACGATCACAACAAAACAGCCCAAAAGGAGATGCAGGCATCTAACGATTCAGGATACTTCCCTATGGGCTTCATGCTTTTCACAAAGAGCCACTGTGAAAGTTATTTTTCTAGGAGTACCTCGGCAAGGAGACTGCAACTCTTTAAAAACCGTGCCTTTCCACAGTTGTCACACTGAATAAATAGGCCTTCCCAGGAAGAGCGAGGAAGCCACCAATAATTAGCTGCTTAGTTGGTTTGGTGGCATATGAACTCACAAAGAAAACACAGGGAGAGTGGTCTGGCCTAAGACAGGGCAAATTCTTCTGCCATGATGTCATATAAACACTCAAGACAGGAAAACTCAATGTTAAAGAAAAATTTTTATAGCATTTTCTTCTCCCTTAAATGTTGTCTATTTTTCCCCTTATAATGCCTTTTTCACTATTAAAACAGCTTCCACAAAAATTCCTTTCTACCAAATCATGGAATTTCCTGAAATCAACACTTAAAGTGCTTTATTTCCAAATACATTATTATTCAGGGGCCAAATTGTTAGCAAATTCATAAAAATGAAAACAAAAAATAAGTAAATAAAAAATTCCTGGTATTAAATTATTTTTAAACCTAGACTTCAGATACTTAACTCTGCATTCAATTAACAATCAACTAATTTAATCTGATCTATTATTTTGAAACCTGAAGAATCATCTTAAGAATTATAAAGAGGACCCGTGACAAAGTAAGACATCTCTTCAACACTCACAAATGAAACCATATGGCAAAAAATCCCTGGTGTGTCAGCTACACACACGCTGAAAGAGCCCACTTAGGCTTAACAAAGCAAGGACCTCAGTATCTACAATCTAGCCTCAAAATTCAACAATTCATTTGACCTTGAAAGGCAAGGAACTGAGAGGTTCAAAACAACAGATTTAACATAAATGGATTTCAATTAAGAAACGTAAGATTTGCCAACGTTCACTCAGAAAACAAAGTGTTTGCAGCCAAATGAAAATTAATCTAAGATGTGTGAAGCACTAAAGTTTAAAAATACAGAATCAGGAAGAGATCGATTTATAATGGTACAATTGTATCAAGAATTTTATCTTAAATCTTTACTCCCAGGTGACACAAGATTCTAGCAGTGCTTTCTATCCCCACCGATCGTAAATCAAGCGAAACCACTGTCATGCTACTGACGAGGTATATACATTTATCAAAGAAAGCATTAAAAAAAGTGACATAATGAACCTTGCTGAACCAATAAGCAGCTTGATTCAGTGTGGCTGTCCATTATATGACATTCTGCCAGCAATTTATCACAGCTCTTAACATGTTACATACAACCATAAATCAAAACTAGAAACAATGCAATTATTTTATTCTGAACAAAGGTCTTGCCAGGAGTAGATTCAAGTGTGATGTGACAAAAATAATGGCTCTTTGGATGCACTACAGTATATAATGATGGCTACAGAAACTGCAAAGTGTATTTACACTGAGGAAACAGACTCAAGTGAGGGATACCTTTAAACCGCTGAAACAATCAATCCTGAAAATTAACTACCACCTGATCAAGTCTGATGAGGACAGAGAGAATGTTCAACTGCACCTTCATCATACAGATCAAAAGGTTAGAATAACATACCAAGTTTTGGTTTTAAGAGCTTCATTCACCAGAGTCTACATCTGTCTGCATTTAAAAAAAAAAATAAGCAGTAAAAGCCAGGGACATGGGAGGACATCTTTCTTACTAAATTTGAAATGAGCTGTTCTGGCCCCCTAACAATCAACTCCAAGGAGACCTCGGGTCAGACCTGAAAATGAGTGCTGAGTCATCCCCCTTCCCAGTCTGGGTGGGTCTGATCCAGTGCAGGGCCATCAACAATCTTTGCTAAATGACAGCTCCAAGAAGGCACAGAGTTATCCCTTAGTCCTAAAATGTAAAGCACTAACAACACACAGAAGTGGGTTTGTTTTAGCCTATTGCTCCAGTGCAAGGAGAACAACTGACAGACTCAGGACAGAGCAGACTCAGGGACAACTAACAACCAAATCCCAAGGGTAGTTTTCCTTTACTTCTATATTCCTATGTAGTTATACTAGGCACTTCATCAACTCCTGACCTCTACACTCAACACCACACTCACCAGACATGCATCAGACCAAATCACCTGAAGGATCATAACTCTTGTTAATACAAAGTGCCTACCTTTTCAGGCTGAGAGAAAGTTCCAGCATTACAAGGAGTTCTAGGATCCCACAATTTAACTGTTTGATCCCAACTTCCAGTAACCATCACGTTCACCTCCGGACAGTATTCAACACATCTGATAGGAGCATCATGGGTCCCAACAAGATTTTCTGTAGAAGGAAAGGGGGAAAAAAAAGCCAATACTTAGTTTTACAGCTCTACAAAACAAAGATTCTTCAGATGAAACAACTGATTCTAGATTCCTTAAAACTTGGAACCTTGTTTAACTCAGTACCTGACTGCATCTAGTGCAAGGTCTAGAACACAGTAGGTGCTCAAGAAATACCTGTTGAATGAACAAATGAGTGAAGAACTTGCTCTTCCAGATCATGACAAAGACTTAACTTGAGCATTAAAGCCAATGCTTAAAAGTAATTAATTTACCTGGTTTAGGATTATCTGAGAATCTGGATGAGGAAAGCAGGGGGTCTTATTTCACTTGGTGGTCCAAACTTCCAATACAAAATTCCTCTTCTTTCAATCTCAACTCTTCACACTTATCTCATTCATTCACTGAACTAACGTTACTAACATTACTGTCTGCCACAATCTGTGCTATACGTTAGGAACACAACAATGAACAAGTATTGTCTTGACCCTTTTTAAAAAGACATCATTTACACCAGAAAGAAAAGCTGTAGAGTTTGGCAAGGCTCTTCTGAGAACAAAAGCCAAATCCCTAAATAATGGTCCCAAGATCTGAGGTGGTTGTTTGCTTCACAGCTTTCCCCACCCCCAAATTTTCAAATAGGACCTAAACTTATAAACCTATTACACAGGGTAAGCTGCTAGCAAACAAAAAGCCAACACCTGTTATAAAATTACAACATAAATGACTTCACATAAAAGCCTCTTTTGACTTGAGGTGTCCTTTTTTTTGACAAAATGTTGCAGCCACGCCTCCATCTATCCTCTGGTTATCCAGCTCATCCTTTATCCAGTCACCCCTACCCTGTCTCTCAAGGACTTCCCCTGTGACACATGCACCCAGCAAAGAGAAGCAGCTCAGCTGGAGACCTGGGCACTTGGGTCCTATGCCAATCTCTGCCCCAAAGTCACCATTAACATGGAGGCAAGTCATTCATGCCTGGGCTGCCAGGAAATTACTCAACTAAAAGAAAACGAGTCATCTGTTCTTTATTCACAAATTCAAGTGAAGCACAGTTTACTGCTAAAAAATTACACAAAACAGAATTAATGCAGTACACAGGCATACAATTTTATGATGTTAGAGAAAAAAAGAAAAGAAAAAACCCTCTCTTTCTTCAGTGTAAATTAAATGAGCTTCAAAAAAGAGAACTGTGGCACATCAGCAGTGCTGGAAAGTCCAAACACAACACAGACCACTACTGTCTCCCAGGACAGGTCTGTTAGTTCCTCTGGCAGTCCACTGGACTTTCAGTATTCTTTGCCAACACTACAACTCAAAAGCCTCAGCTCTTCTTGGATCTTCCTTATTCATTGCCCAGCTTGCACATGCATGAGGCTACTCAATGGATCCAGTCCATTTCTAAGAACAACGGCAAAGTCAAATACTTGAGTGCCACTTGGGACAAAGATCACAATGGACTTCATTGCAACACATATGTATGTACACACACACACACACACACACTTACATACACTGGGATAAATCATTGAACGGTTATCACTTACATTAAAAAGCCCTACATTCAAGCCATTTCTATCTGAGGCTGAGCGAGTTAGGAATGACTCTTCTTACAGTAAGTATTTATACCCTAATAACTACACAATCTGACACAATAATAAACTGGCCACATTGTGGTCCTATTACCTTGATCAGTATTCAGATCATGCATTTTCAGCTGATGGTCTAACCCCCCACTCCAGGCATGAGTTGGATCCTAGAAAACAAATTTCACATTTAAAACCTCCAGAACTTTAAAAAAAAAAAAGGACAAATTTTGAAATCTACCGCCAACTCCGTGGTCTATGTTCAGGACATGAGCTTTGCCCTCACCTCTGCACTGCAAACAAGACAAGCACAGAAAGCAAAAGGTGACAAAATTGCCACGGCCGTTAATCCAAGGACGCCTGGCTTACACGTTCCCCACCTGGCTGAGAGCAGAAGGGCCCAACCTTCCTCTGAAGGGGGCTGCCCAACCTTCGGTTTCCGCCCCCAATTTCAAGTACAAGTGCCAGGCAGTTAGCGGGACTGTTTTTACTAGACTCAACTTCAAGGTGGAGACCGAGGCTCCAGCGTCTGCCTTTCCCCAACGCCAAATGGTACCCGGCTCAAGACATAAGCACCGGAAACATTCAAGACCTGCCCAATGAACTTGACGGACAGAAGCCTTGCCCTAGTCCTGGCCGCGGGACGCTAGAACACGAAGCGCCCGAACAGCGGGCGCAGGGGCCGACCCCGCCACGTACGTAGAAGGCGCAGTCCAGCACGGCGCCCGTGTGCTGGTACTTGAGCCGCATGGAGTTGGCCGGCACATCGTAGAGGCGCACGGACGTGTCCCAGGAGGACACCAGCAGGAACTGGGAAGTGTTGGGGCTGAACTTCACCGACGAGATGCCATCCTCGGGCGGCTGGTTCAGCTTGAACTCGTTGGAGCCAGTCATCTACGGAACACATGCCCAGTCAAGTCCCGTCGGGTCCCGGGGTCCGGGAGCTGGCCCAGCGGGCGACGGGACAGTGGGGGAAGGAGCTCCACCGGGGCGGGACCGGGAGCACCAAGGCAACGGGGACTTCGCGCCTGCGCAGAGCCTACGGGCCCCGCCACAGTCGGACTAGCTCCCGCCGCCCCTCCCCCGCGCCGTAACCGGCCGCCTCGGCCAGCGCGATTGTATCCAGCCTCCCTCCACCCCGCCACGCCCCTCTCTGCCGCGGACTCTCGCCTCCCACCCCTGCCGCGAGGTCTGTCGCCCGGACGCTGCTAAAAGAATACAAAGAAGGTGGTGAAAATGCAACGGGCTCCCCTGCGAACGGCTCCCCCGGCTCTGGGAGCTTCCCTAGGCTCCTGGGCCCGTCGCCTCGCCCACTACCTTGAGATTCTCCTCTGAAGCAACGCAGCTGTCGCTCCCACCGCCTTGGCACTCTCGGAGAACTCGCGGGCTGGCTGAAGGAGGCGGAAAGGAAGTTTGAGCGGATGCCTGTCATTGGCTGATTTCAAACGCCAACGTCCCACTCTAGGAAGTCGATTGGTCCGCTCAGCTGCCCGCCGTCAGGCAACCCAGTCATCCTGTTCCGGCTCAAAGGGAACCACTGCGGCTTTTCCGATCACGTGGTCTCGCTTTACGCCCAGGCTGAGGACCCAACCCGAGGGCTGAACAAGTGGGAACTACAACTCCCAGGCAGCACCGCGGCAGGGCTACACTCACGCCCTCTCCTAGTGTTATAAGGCACACTGGGAGATGTAGTGTCTCTTGCCGACGCCCTGCTTGTTCTCAGACTAGAAAGCCGGAAAGATGCTATTTCTAGCTCTTCTCATGGAGCTCTCGCAGTCTCAATCTCCCAGGTAACGAGAATCCCATTTGAGCCGTACTCCTGCAAAGCTAAATTCTCTCTTTCCGCTACATTCATACGCCCGTGAAATTAACCAAAATTGGAGTGGAGAAAAAAATATTAGTTCCACTCAACTAAATTATTTTGTCCTAATTTTTTCTCCCTAGCTTCCTGGAGTTTCCATCTGTGGACCAGGATCTTACCGTTCCCGTTGTCTTAACTTCGAATGGTGTCCTAGAGACACATGCTTTTTTATATTAAGTTTTCTCTCTCCATTTCATCTGTCCAGAAACACTTCTGAACACCCACTGTGAGGCAGGCCTGTGTGTCTGTGACTGTGGGGAGGCGCTTCCAACAGACTAGTCCTTGACTTCCGGCATTCCTTCTCTTCCACAAGGGTGAACGGACTAGGAAGTCAACAATTACTCTGCAGTGTGTCATGGATCAAAGACCTTTTCGAGATTGTTTAAGTATGGTCCTGAAAATAACAGCTACATGCCCACCCCGCAGCACTATTCTCCAGAGTTGCAGGGTCATTTTGCTCCATTTTGTTTCTTGAACCTTCTGAAAATACAAGGATCAAGAAAGTTGCTTCAGTAAGAGGTGATTTGATCACCTTCAAAAGAATGTTGTTGTTGTTGTTATGTGCCGTGGAGTCGGCCCTGACTCATAGCGACCCCTCCTTGGGTTTCTGAGGCAGTATCACTACGGAAGTAGGATTGCCCAACCAAAAGAATAGTAGTATTTAATTTGTCACTTGAAGCAGTGACTCAGTGACTCTTGAATGTAAAAGGCTTACTGAAATTTCAGTTCAGCCTAGTCAATGCTTTTGTGGAGAAAACGAAAATCATACTTGATTTTGTATGCAGTGGGAAGAAATCGTTGGGGTGAAAGTGCTCCACTTTTAAGCTGCAGTGAGAAAAAAATGTTGTTTATCTCTATGCATCACACACCCCTGAGTTAGTTGCATCACTTTTTATGACTCCTGGCACAGGAAACAACACACAACAACATCCCCTCAGCCCATTGCGCTGATGCTATTTCCACCAAAAAAAAAAAAAAAAACAGATAACACCTTCTCCACTGCTCTTCATACTTGGTTCTCCAGCTCTTTCAACGAGTTAATGGCTAAGTTCAGATTTTTTTTTTTTTTTTTTTAAGGCAATGCCTCTATTTTAGCTTTGGCTCAATAATTTTATCTCCTGACTTATTGGTTCCCTCTCCCCATTGTTTAGTTAATTCTATTAGCGTTTCGACATTCTGAGCATGAATTACCCGCTAATAAAATCTAAGTGTATTTCATTATCTACTGTGTGTATGATTCAGGTCCCTCAGGGCATGCAGTTGCAGCCGGACTCTATTTGAGTTTTAGGAAACGTCAATCTTTTAAATCCAGTTTAAAGCTTGAAAGAAGGCTACTGATTTTGCTGATTATTCAAATGAATTGATAGTCTTGAGATAGGAAATCTGGCAACACTGGAGTCTTGGACAACATCGTAAATCCAAATGCAAAGTCTGTATTTGTTGCTGCTGTGGTGGTACTTAGTTGCCTGTAAGAGAGGAAGGAATTCCTAGCACTAATTACACTGTTGAATCCCCTTTGACTGCTAATTTCTGGATTAGTAAAAAGAGCCAAATATATACTTTATGACAAACTGAAAAAGGGCCGGTCCCTAAAATCCCAAGGGTAAAATCACTTTGCCTTTAAGTGCCCTGACTGACACTGTGGCTAGAGAAAATTACTTCCTGTAAGAAAAGTAAATGTAGGAGGATGTAAGTGATGAGTACTGTTAAAACTACCATCTCTTGTAAAATGCAAACAAAAATGATGTGGGTAGACTCTTCCCATACAGCCCTTCTGTAGATGCAGTTTGGTTATTTCTGCAGGGATTTCTTAGAGTTTGATAATAAAGGGGTCATCTGGAATGAGAGAACGTCATTGAAATAAAATATGTGTCCACAATAAATCAGAAGAAAGCAGATCCCGTGTCGCTTTTGTTTTCTCTGTGACTATTTAATACATAGCATAACGCTCAGCCTGTACTGAGACCCACGGCCATCGCGTCTGTTCCGACTCATGGCGACCCCCGTTGGGTTTCCAAGGCTGTAAATCTTTATGGAAGTACATTGGCTCATCTTCCTCTCGAAGAGCAGCTGCTGGGTTTGAACCACTGACCATCTGGTTAGCAGCCAAATGCCTTACCTGCTACACCACCAGAACTCCTTGAAGCATGTCCTGCAGACCAGTAAATGTTTATTGGATTGAACTAAGTTGATATGAAATAAATACAACTGAACTAGCTTAGTATTGGCAGACGTATTCTTGGGTAACATCCTTCTGACGTCACCTTAGAATAGACTGTGATTTTTATGAAATCTAACATGAGAATAAGAAAATATGTATCATCTTAAGATTAACAAAATCAGAAGGAATTTTTTAGCCAGGCATTTTAGACAAAATACTGAGGGTCTCACAGACTGCTTACCGATATTCTATATATTTATACAAAATACAGATAATTTCGATGCTTCTTGGCTCAAAGAGAAACGTGTACCTCGCATACACGCCCCTTCCAGTGCTGAGATCTGGCCTCCGCGCCGCGGACTCCCAGACGCTCGGCAGCGAATCACCGGGGCCCCACGCAGGCGTGGAACCATCGACCTCCTCGGAGCTCACACTTCCTTTTTCCATGTTTTACAAAGGAACAGGTAGCTACGATCTAGCTGTAACAGGCGCGAGGGCCTGCGATTTGCATGACATTCAAGCGTCTGTTCTTTCGCGGCGTTGAGCTCCCAGGCCGGGCGCACGGCAGGTGTCCCGGCGCGGGATCCATGGGCGCCCTGGCCGCGAGTCACGGTCCCAGACAGCGCGAGCTGCAGCACATTCGCCGACGATCCGGCCTTTGAGCCGCGGACATCTCAAACTATTAACAGCAAAAGAGTAGGGGAGGCGCCTTTGCCGCCGCCTCGGGTTATGCCTAGTCTGGGACCTCGGATCCCTCCTCCGCCGAAGCGCGGACATTCCACTCAAGTGCCCGCGTCGCACGGGGCGCGCACCTATGCCACCGCCCGGAAACTGTGCGCGGCTGCAAAGAGACAGTCGCGCCTGGCTCCCGGCGAGCAAAAGGAAGCTTCACCCGGCTCGGGCAGAGCCCACCGCCTACCCTGCGCCCTCGGACAGGAAGCACCCGGCTCGGGTTGGCCACTTCGCTGCGCGCCCGGCTTCCGCCAAGTCTAAGGCGACTGGGAAGATGCTGTTCGGGCCCTGGCCGGCTAGTTCGGAAGGGCAGTGAGGCCTGCTTCCCCGCCTTCACCCGTTCCGGCTCGAGTCCCAGAGCGGGATTCTGACCTGCGCCAGGACCTTGGACTCCAGGGGGTGGGGGCCGTGGGGGGGTACGGCTCCAGCCACGTGCCACCTCAGACGGCGCTAAAGCCCCGACCTTTAACCCCTAGCCCCGGCTCCACCCTCCTCGTGCGGCGATCCCAACCTTCCCCAATGCGGTCTGCAAACCCTTCCACTCAAAACAGAGAAAACCTTCACGCATTAGCACGCCCAGCAATCAATCACACCAAAGTTAGCAACGATGTTTAAAATGTTTTATTTTTTTCCCTTCTTTTTAAAAATATTTACAGGTCTGAAATTTCCCCTTTCGCTCCTACCCATCCTAGGGATAAAGGAAACGAAAAAGGGCTATTAGATCATTGTTCAAAGCCCCCGAGCGGCTGTCTTGGGCAAGCGCGTGTGCGTATACATAGATACAGGTGGGTTTATGGGGCATGGTGGAAGGTGGGCCTAGTTTGGTTGATGATTTTTCTTTCTCTGAGTTTTGTCTAGCAGCCAAAGCCGATGTGGTCAAAACTTCCCCTCCCACCACCACCCGAGAACAACCCCTCCAGAATGGTTTTCAAAGCGTATTGGTCGGTTTGGCTAGAAAGCAAGCGATCTGGCTTGAGAAATGCCGATAAATACCCGAAATAATCAACAGACAAAGTGGGGCCTAGACGATAAATAAGAGCTCATGGATACACATGGTGTATATATTGCGGGACACGAGCCGCCGGGCTCCGGCGCCCCCAGTCAAGGGGGCAGGCTCTAGGGGGCCGCGGGAGGTGGCCG